TAAAAATAGTAATATCAAATCATTATTTATTTAAGAATGCTATAATATAAATATAATATAAATATTGTTGGAATTGGTTCAAATGTTTCGTTTTTTCGCGCTATTGGTGTCTACACTGGGCATCTCGCGGCGCTGTTTCGCGGTGATCGCGCGCTTGCGCACGTTGCTAATTATCACTTCTGTTTTAGATCGTATTACCACAATGTAATCATTTATTCACCGGATATATATCTTTTGTAATCAACCTGCGTGTCTACATCTGTGTCAGTTTATTTATACGATCCCGTTCCCAGAGTTTCTGCGCGAACAAATATAAATACAAGCACACGTTAATTACTATAAACATATTATAAATTATTATATTTATTATAATAATTATTACATTGTGTGTGTGTGTGTGTATGTGTGTGCGCACGCGCGCGTGTGTGTGTGCATGTGCGTGCGCGTGTGGGTGTGTGGGTGTGGGTGTGGGTGTGGGTGTGTGGGTGTGGATGTGATGGTGTGGGTGTGGGTGTGGGTGTAGGTGTGTGGATGTGTGGATGTGTGGGTGTGGGTGTGGATGTGTGTGTGTGTCCTTCATTCCTTCACTATTGCATAGAATGAGCCAATCGTAATCGTTCTAATTCTGCTAAAGCGCTTTAATTGCATGGACAATGAAACAATCTTTTTTGCTCTATTGCAGAGATTGCTAATCCTTGTAAAGATCTTACGCGACTAAGTGCTACATATACTTGATCTTTAGCAAATATCTTCTTACCTAAATATATTACAGCTTTATCAACTGTTGTACCGTGCAATTTATGCATTGTCACTGCCTAACTCAAAATAATGGGAAGCATTGTTCTTTCCATATCCTTTATTACCTTGGTATACAACACTAACTGGAGAAACACCAACGTAACCGTTAGATTCTTTTAAAGGTTTTAACAAGCGATCTGCGGTAGGAGTATAACATCATTTAATCTGTTGTTCTATCATTTTTAAAAGAAACGTTTTTCCACATCCTGCTCCTTCTGTAATAAATAATCGTAAAGGTTCAATAATTTGACCTTGAATATCTTATTTAATAAGATTATTTAATAAGATTTTAATAAGATTAGTGAAGCGAGGGGGGGATTTAAGGCGGCAGAAGGCACGAACCAAGCATCCATCTCTTCCGTGGCAGCGGCACTGTCGTGTCTGTGTAGGGCGTTTACACACTTCCTCAGCCCGACAAATAATTGAGATCTGTAAGTGAGATATACCAAAAGCTTTCATAACACATAAAGGAAATTGAGGAACAACGCTTCTCAGCACACAGAGCTAAGATCGCTTTGTACGCAAGTTTCCTTCGTTCGGAACGACTTAGTTACGTGCCTTTACGCTGGCGCAGATGTACACCGCAGAGTGAAGCGAGGGGGGGGATTTAAGGCGGCAGGAAGCAATCTATAAGATTAGTAATTGTATTAAATAAATGAGATTGTTCTATGTTCATATTTCTAACATTTTGTTCAAATTCTTCAGCAGATATAACGCGATCTGCTTCATTAGGTTCATTGTGTAAATTTAAATCAATATTATTATCATCATATTCCTCATCCATTATACAATGTGCACGATTTTCGTTTCTTACCGTAGATTGCGCATTTGTATCATTGTCATTTAATGCAACAATTTGAGCTATAACTTTTTGTAATTCCCGTTCTACAAATTGAAATTGTTCAATATTCTGCCCCCTACGTAGAGGTCGTACAATAGATGACGCTTTGCATTAAATGCCTGTTCTGTTGATTCATATCTCTGAAATAATTCTTTTTCATTTCTGAAAGGAACATGAACTACTAAATAACTATAAAAGTGTGCTTCGTGATTACCAGTTTGAGTATAATATCGCGTTCTTAACACTGCAGGATGGTTACGCCGTTTCATTTTTGTACCATCTCTTGCAAACAAATATGCGTAGTTAGAACTACATCGTTGACTTCATCCTAAACCTCGATATCTCCATCTTCTTCATAATTGGCAAATCGTGATACACATTCGTACGTAACAGCAAATTCAGCTAAACTAAGATCATCGAAGTTCTCCGGACATAAACAATAACGATCAAATATGTTTGCATATACATTATTAATATAGCCATCACAACGTAACATTCGATAACGTTCTTGTAGAAAGCATGTGTTTAGAAAAACAACTTTTCGTGAATTATCATATAGTTTTAAATGGCATAAACGAAATGCACATTCACAGGCAGATATCTGTCTATGTCGAAGTATAGTCATTGATACAGCGAATAATTGCTTTCCTACATCTCCACCGTATCTCTGCACTCTGCTGATTGCATCTTTAACTGCTTGACCAACATCATGAGGTTCATGTTTAGCTGCGTATTTAGCTATATAATAGGCTATACCCATAACATTCCCACAAGGTTGCAAATCCATATTGCCACTCTATAATTTAAGAAGTGTAGGATTGTAATTATTCACATAAACATCTGTAGAGTTACGCTTTAATATACAGAAACGTTCATTATTACGAATAGCTTCATCTGGTCCAAACAACACAGTTGTATCACTAATTCTTCTAGGAAAACCAAATCGGCATTGTCCGTGTTGTTTATCTTTGTAACATGTAGTAATATGTTTATGCATTTGCACGCGTGTTACAAGCGCATTTAATTCATCATCTCCTGTAGAAGATGCACACGATACAATATTATCAATAAGAGCTATACCTTGTGGGCTTTCAAATAGTGGAATTTCTTCATTCCAGCACAGCATGTGTAAATGTGGACTACCTCTATTTTCAAATTCTATTCTCCACCAGAAATCTATTAGTTTTCCACCTAATAAAGTGTCATCTTTTTGCAATACACGCATGACAGCATGAACACGAACCATAAAATGACGCAATAAGACATGTTTGCAACATATCTTTCCAATTAAGATCGTTGCAACTTAATGTTAAAAACCATTGTGGCAGGCCCAATTTACGAACCATAGCAATTAAACCACTATATGCAGTTTGCCAATATCCATTAGAACTACGCAAAGCTCTCATATTAATCTGCAAATTTTCTACAAGACGTTCAGGCATAGCATTACCTTGTCTTAATCTAAGGCAGACGCCAACATTTTGCCGAGCTCGATAATATTCCATAACAGATAAAGAATAAAATAAGTAATCATTTCATTGAAATCTGGGATCCTGACACATAATACGTGGTTGACAATAATCTAATGATATTATAGGATATAATCGCGATGGCTCATGAAGTCCATTCCGTCTTTTCGGAAAATGGAAAAACCAAGCCAATTCTTCAGCTCGAAGTTCAGTATGCATTTGTAGAGGTTCTGTAGTTTTCCGCCGCAAAGAGTACATAAGGGAGCATCTTGTACTTCATTTTCAATAATAGATTGAACATCAGGTATAATTTCATCAACTGGCCGTAAAACTGAAAACGTAATAACATTATTATCATTATTACTGTTTTCAATATTTGGATTTAATTCTGCAGCATTCTCGATGCACTCATCATTGATCTCGTGTATGTGATTTCGTCTATTAGAATGCATTTTTTTTTATTATTGTTGCGTCCACGGATCGGAATCGAGATAAATCGAATCATGCAAGGCACAACCGGCACTCACACTCCGCGTCGTAAATAATAACTCTTATGAAAGAACAAGAACTTTAATAAAACAGAACTATATAACTATTCACAGAAATAGAGAACAGAGAATATCGTTAATAATCTTAAACACGTCCGCGCGAATTGACATCCGTCACGAAACTCAAGATGGCCGATCTAAAACAACATGTCCGCCGTTGTTTAACAGCAAACTCCCCGGCAACGTACTTAGAGACGATCTCTCGAAGACGGACATAATCCAGGGATGCAACAATATATATCTATTTTCAAATTCTATTCTCCACCAGAAATCTATTAGTTTTCCACCTAATAAAGTGTCATCTTTTTGCAATACACGCATGACAGCATGAACACGAACCATAAAATGACGCAATAAGACATGTTTGCAACATATCTTTCCAATTAAGATCGTTGCAACTTAATGTTAAAAACCATTGTGGCAGGCCCAATTTACGAACCATAGCAATTAAACCACTATATGCAGTTTGCCAATATCCATTAGAACTACGCAAAGCTCTCATATTAATCTGCAAATTTTGTACAAGACGTTCAGGCATAGCATTACCTTGTCTTAATCTAAGGCAGACGCCAACATTTTGCCGAGCTCGATAATATTCCATAACAGATAAAGAATAAAATAAGTAATCATTTCATTGAAATCTGGGATCCTGACACATAATACGTGGTTGACAATAATCTAATGATATTATAGGATATAATCGCGATGGCTCATGAAGTCCATTCCGTCTTTTCGGAAAATGGAAAAACCAAGCCAATTCTTCAGCTCGAAGTTCAGTATGCATTTGTAGAGGTTCTGTAGTT